TTACCTGGTAAAATAAATATTAGGCGATGGGCAATATGAGGAGATTAATAGAGGGAGGGAGGGCTAAGGGAGGGAGGAGAGATGGGTAGGAGGAGATGAGTGAGATGGGGAAGAGAGAGGGGAGGATAGGGAGAGTGGATGGGTGGGGGTGTTCTGGGGTTGAGGAAGAGAGCGAGAGAGAGGCGAGGGTTTGAGAGAAGACGCGGGGAGATGGGGGAGAGAGATTAGGGAGAGACGGATAGGGTCATAGTGAGGTGAGATGCGGGGATGTCGTGTGGAAGACGTGGAGAGGGTGATCTTGTGGCGAGGTTGGGAATCAGAATTTGTATTTATCCTGGACGAAGCCGATGAGCTAACAAGCTCTTCTTTCAAAGATGTCTAGTAGGAACAGAGAGAGAGAGAGGAGTGCGTGGAAAGGGAGGAGAAGGCTTCTAGCTGTTAGTAAGCTGATGATCTCGGCCTGAATCACCAACGACTGCACAGAACGAATCATTTCATTATGTTGATTTTTTTTCTTTCCCTTAATTCTGGCGAAATTCCAGCTCGGAGATTTACAAATATGACTGGCGTGCGACAACCACTCTTGTCGGGGCATATGAAAGGGGTGGGGGGGGGGGCTGGTTTAAGTGATCTCGGACCTAGCTCTGTGACATCACCTTCCGCGGCCGTTCATCTCACACAAGGTGATGCGCTTCTCACTGCGTAGAGAGAGAGAGAGAGAATTCCAGGTGGAAAAAAAATCCTCGTCTTGTGACGTGACGCCGATAAGGGCACAGAATTGAGTACAATTGTAAGAAGAAAATCGTTGTTTTTTCGCGTCACGAAGAGCAGGAAATGTATGGAAACACAATGGAGAGGGAGGAGACATGGGGGCGGAGGGAGACAGGGGTATGGGAGGAGGAAGGGGAGGGAGAGATGAGGAAATGGGAGGGATGGGAGAGGGAGGGAGGGAAGAGAGGGGAGGGAGTTGAATGGAGCCAGAGTAGCGACTGGGAGGGAGGTGGGGGGAGATGGAGGTGAGAAAGAGGGAGCAAGGGAGAGGGGTTTAGGGAGGGCGGAGATGAAAGAGAGAGAGAGAGGGGGGGGGGAGGTAGGCGAGGTGCAGAGAGGCATGGAGCCAGAGAGAGAGAGCGGGAGGGAGAGGGGTGAGGGTCTCGTAGGCTGTGTGGAAGATGAGGGAGAGAGGGAGGGAGAGAGGGAGAGAAGTACAGAGTCAGAAATATAAACGCGTGTTGTCGGCGCTCTGGGTGATGCGGCCCAACACAATTCGCCGGGAGCGGAGATTTTCCGCGGTGGGAATCAATAAACACGGCGCGGTCCGTGTCGGCGGCGCCCCGCGCTCCACGCTCCACGCCCGGAGATCCGCTCCGGGTTTTTGTTATTTTGGGATGGTGGCTGCAGGATCAGTGGGCGACGGTCGCACGGCCGCCGTTCTCCGATGCGATTCAAAGCCCGGAACGGATTAGATTGTTCCCGTCAGTGGCACGACAATTGGTGGGGTGGTGGGGGTATTGCATACGCGCTGCGTACAGAGAAGATGTAACAATACGCAACACGTGTGGGTGGGTGGGTTGGTGACTGTGTGGGTGAGTGAGTGGATAAGGGGGTGAGTGAGGGGGGGGTACATTTCACAACATGCAACGTTGTCAGTGGGTGGTGCAGCGTTTACCAGCCACCCGAGTTCGTATCCCGCTCATGGCCAGCAACACCGGTGACGATTATCTGAACCGGTCCTGGGCCTCCTCCCCTAGGTCTACTCAGCCTCAAATGAGTATCTGACACGAAACATCGCCACTGGGGAGACAAAGGCGGTCGGCCGTGGTGCTGGCCACCCACCCCCTCGTGTACCGTGCCGGCCTTCATAGGTGCTCGCTAATAGACTTGCCCCAAAGTATGTTGAGGCTATACGGGGGATATTTGTCTTTTGGGGCGGGGGGGGTAGTTTGAGTAGATGTAGCAACACACAAATTTGTGCTACTCACAAATATCCGATGAGTGCCACTCCCATCCGTATGACGTGCGTGTCACGTGACCACAATGCCCCCCCCCCCAGCCTTGCCTAGACCACCAACTCAAAAGAGAGCGGAAAGTGTGACCCGCATTGTAGCCAATGATGGTCTCAGCCCGATCTGTGTGCGTGTTTGTATTTCCCCCGCCACTAAAAGACACTCAAAACGAACACCCGTATACGAAAAACGGAATATCACGAGTTGTATAAGCGCTTTCCCTGCTTCATACTGATGTCGGTATCACACTCTTCATTAGACTCACGAACAAAAAAAAGTGTCGTGAATGTGACGTCGCAATGGGATTCAGCACCATTCGTAATTTTAGTCCTTGGGCTGACCACCAAAGATTTTGATTTCGTAAACTTTGCACCCCGATGTACACATCTGGTGGGGGGGGGGAGCATGCAGCCTGTCACCCAAACGAACAATTTCGTTTTTCAGACTATCCCAGCTCTAAGAAACTAAACTCGGCTGTGGTTGTGTCAGATTTCAACTTTCTAGCCCTTCTAGACGAACACCATTAGAATCGCCATCGCTCGCTCGTTCGCTCGCCCACAGCACCCCCCCCCCCCCCGTGTATCAGTGGAGCTTTGGGTTGCGTTCGTCAATAGCTACCCATGGGTCCCGTGTATATGAACGAGAGCTGCGTCACGTGTGTTGTGTGTGTGTCTTCGCGATCGATGTTCATTCCCACACTCAAATCTGCCCGGAATTATCATGAGAAATGGGGATTAGGGGTTCACGTAAATACATAGCAAAGACAAAGACCCCCCCCCCTCTCCTTACCCCCTGCGATAGGCTCTAACAGACTGTCGAGGCAATTTCTGTTAGCGAGCGCCAATGCGGCACCTGCACACACATGTGCTCACACACACATATACACATTGACACCTACACACACATGTGCTCACATACACATTGACACCTACACACACATGTACTCACACCAACATACGCATTGACACCTACACACACATGTGCTCACACACACATACACATTGACACCTACACACACATGTACTCACACATACGCACGCTGACACCTGTGCACAGATTGTCACACACACACATAATGACACTGACACCTTCACACAGATTGTCACACACATACACACATTGACACCTCCACATTCTCTCAACAACAACAACAACAGCCGCCATTCGCAATTAAGTGACGGCGACGGCACCACGGCGCTTGTGCCAGGCTAGGTGCACTTTGAGACCACGTGAAGTGTCGGAGGCGACGCGATAGAACCGGGTGTTTTGAGTTGACTGAGATGACTGGCAGACGCACCAGCTGTGTTGCCCACTGTGCCAGCTTGCTGCGTTATTGAGAGCGTCTCTCCTCTCCACTCCGTTGTTGTTGGTGGGTGACTGCATCCAACTGTCCAGTTGGGTCCTTCACGAGCCTCATCCATAGAGGTCCATCTTGACCCCACTGGTACCGGTCATTGGCAAGCCAACTCAGCTCCACATTGTCCTGTACCGCATCAGTCCATTTCCTCTCCAGCCCATGCCGTGCCCGTTTAGCCCCCTCTATCCTGCCAAACAGAAGCTGCTTGGGCATGTGGTGGCTGGGCATGCGGGCTACATAACCCGGCCAACAGAGCCTCGCCTGCTGGAGAAGCTCACCGATGGGACTGTGACCAGATCGGTCATGGATCTGTGAGCTCCTCACACAATCCAGTCTGGTTAGACCCAGGATGGATCATAGGCAGGCCAGCTTGTGAATGTTTCAACCCAGTGCAGATGATACTCCTTCAGAGGGGTCCAGGTTCTGCAAGCGTAGACAAGGGAGGGCATAACCGTGGCCAAGAAGACTTGTGTGTACAAACACAAAGATCCCGCCGGGAAGCCTTTAATAGACTGTTGGGGCAAGGACCTATGAAGGCTGGCACGGCACACGAGGTTGTGGGTGGCCAGCACCACGCCCGACCGTCTTTGTCTCCCCAATGACGATGTTTACACACCGCACCAGGGACTCAGTTGAGGCTGAGTCGACCCTAGGGGAGGCTCAGGACCGGTTCAGTCGTCACCGGTGTTCGCCGTGAGCGGGAATCGAACCCGGGTGGCCGGGGTTCTTAGCGCAAACCGCTACTATGCTCCCGCTCCCTCCGACTTGTGTGTACACAGACACACACAAACGACACGAACGGACACACAGACAAGAGGAGACGTCTCAGTCCGTAGAACATTTATTATTTGTATACAGCGGCGTCATTCGTGCAAATCGCGCTCCAGAACTGCTGCTGTGGGACGTCGTTACGTGCTGCACAGGCAGAACCGGCGCTACCAACAGTTGCCCAAGCTCTGTGATCCTACAATTGGGATGATTGGCCAAGTCAGTCTTCGACGAGTTTTCTAACCATGACGATCGGGGTGTAATTTGTAACTTCCTTCCGTGTGCCGTTGCAAGTTGCGTGCATCCGCTCGTTTGGAGGCTGCGGGTATATAGCATCTCGCCACGGTGGCGAGATGTTAACTACCTCGCCCGGTATACAGGAGGTCACGGGTTCCATCCCAACCCTGACACCTGTATATTTTGAGTTTTTATGTTCTCCCCGTGGTCGCGTGGATTTTTCTCCGAGCCCTCCGGTTTGTCCCCCCAACATTTAGAATGATAAAGACATTTCTACGTGACAAACCACTTTGTTGGCCTATCATTTGTGGCCAAGTCGCTTCTGAAAATGAGTTATTCAGCTCAGTGGGCCTTGCCTGGTGACCTTAAAAAAGAGTTGAGTTTTTAAAGCGGAGCGCCATCGATGTCTCTATGTTCCTGTCCATAACTTGTCCTTGTAACTCCTCTCCCCTGTGCAACACACACACACACGTATGTACATGTACATACACACACACGCATTCACTCTGAACATTGACTCAAATACTCAACCACAAACTCACGCTCACTCACACCGACACACACATCACCACCACTACCATACCATCACCATCCTCACCAACACCCCCCCCCCCCCCCAATTTGCTCCACAGGGTAAAATCCTCTTCCACTTGACCAGGGGGGCAAATGTTCTTCGCCAACTGCGTGAAGACCTCAGCACCACCTCCACGAACGACAGCAGCAGGATCAGCAGTGACAGCAACAGCAGCAGCAACAGCAGCGATAGCAGTGCCCGGCGATCGAGGGAGGTGGACCCCCACAGCGCAATGCACAAGTCCACCTTCTACGACTTCTCCTTCTACCAAGGTGGAGGAGGAGGTGGAGGAGGAGGAGGTGGAGGAGGCGGCGGAGGAGGAGGCGCGAACGGATACGTGTACGAGCCGTCGGCCCAAACCTACGTCGGCGCGACCTCCCAGCACTCGGGGCCCGAGTACGGCCACTCGGCGTGCTCCCTGCAGCAGCAGCAGCAGCAGCAGCAGCAACAGCAGCAGCAGAGCTCCGGCTCGGCGGGCGCGGTGCCCGCCCTCCCCAAGGCCGGCGACCTCGGGGGCAGCTGCATGCGGTCGAGCAACGGCGGGCAGGCCACGTTGCCCACCACGGGCTTGCCCGACAAGCAGGGTTGCGCTCCGACGCCGCTCTCCACGCCGCCGCCGCCGCCGCCCGCCGCCCCCGCGGCTAACGGCGGAGGGACCGTGGGCAGCAACGGGAGCGGCGGTGGAGGCGGTGGAGGTGGCGGCGGTGGAGGGAATGGAACGGGCGGACAGAAGGGGGTGGCAAGCAAGCCGTTTGCCGCGTCGAATCTGGGCAACGCGCCGAGCCTCACCAAGCAGGTGTTCCCGTGGATGAAGGAGTCGCGGCAGAACGCCAAGCAGAAGAATAGCTCGCCCTTGCCAGGTATATCACCCGCGCGGCACCACCACAACAACAACAACAACAAAACACGAAGATCACCCCGCATAGCCTTCGACAGACTGTTGGGGCAAGTGCCGTTAGCGAGCATGGCAAATGTGCATGCACACAGAGAGACGGACAGATACGCACGTACCGCGCACAACGTGCGCACGGCACACACGACAACTCAGCCTCCTAGATTTCTGGGAGGCTCAAAGACATCAGGTGGCAGCCCCTCCCTTTGTCAGCCCCGCCCACTTTTATTTAGCCACTCCCACTGATCTACTAGCCCCACTCACTACTCAAGCAGCTGCACCCTTTGTTTGCTCGGTTCATGAGTCGAGCGTGAAGCTGGAAAATTTTAAAAACGGGACAAGTCTCGGCTTAGATTTTTACCCCGGCCATACCAGGGCATTAGCTGGATTTAGCAACTGTCATAGCGGTATTTAAGAGCGGTGAAATGCTATTGGCACACTCGCATGCTCTGCAGAGATTTCTATATGCAAACAAATGAAACTATTTATGAACTTTAAATTATTTTATTATTTGACTAGGTAAGGCCCACTAAGCTATATGGCTCTTCAGAAGCAACCTGGCGATCACAAATGATAGCTCAACGAAGTGGCTTATTATCTCGTAGACATTTATAGCAGCCAAATACTCTACTCGATTTTTTTCTAATTGTGGAGGGAAAAACCGGAAGACCTGGAGAAAAATCCACACGGCCACGGGGAGAAAGAGATGCAGACTCCAAATACACACGCGTCAGGGTCGGGATCGAACCCACGACCTCCTGTATACCAGGCGAGGCAGTTAACATCTCGTCACCGCAGTGCCCTGGTGATGATGCTGGTGTGTTGGCAGTGATGCACAAAACCACTCAACGGATTTTTTCAGTAACGCTGTGGCATTAAAAGAGAACAATATAATGTGACGTTTCAGGCAATTGCCCTTCTTCAGAGCGACACATAGACACGCTTATTTTATCCGACTCAAGGCCACCATCCCATTGTCGTAAGCATTTTCCACAATCACTTCCTGTTTCACTGGCCTCAATGTATACACCACGTTGGCCAATCAGGAGCTGCCTAGGGCCTGTTGACCCCAGGAAGGCTTAGGTCAACAGGAAGTGATGCAATAATAATACATTGCAGCATCTCTGGAAACGTAAGCAGTGATCAATGCTACGAGTTTGAAATCTCACCAACTCTGCCTACACACACACCTTGTTATGAATTGTAGGGGAGCCCGGGTGTGTTTGTCAGTTGGAGGCTACACCCAACTGATGAGCCTCAATGAAGTCAAACCTGGTCGAATTTTTTGCCCTCGTTTTATAAACAAATTCTACTCGTCCGAAAGCCCGACAATTAAAATACATTTTATGTTTACTTCACAAAGTGCATAAATTGCTACCGTCGCTCCATCTCCGCCGTGGCCATGCCCTCGGGATCATATTTGTCCATTGGCCATCGTCCCTTCTTGGTCCATGCCATCTTGTGCACAAGCCCTGCTTTTATTTTTTCCTTAATAAATACGCTGTCTCTAGCTTTGCATTTGTTTTCTGATCCACGTGTTACTCTTCCCGTGTCTCGGCACAATTCCCAGCATGCACCTCATCCATCTCTGCCCTTTATCATCATCATCATCACCACCACCATGGCCTCTCTACCCCTGGATGAAGATCGTAGTGACGCCTCCCATTCACATCCACGTCTTCCTCTTCCCGTCTCTCGGCGCAATTCCCAGCATGCACCCTTCGGCGTCCTTCTATGTGCGCTCTTCAGCTTTTTTTTCTCTCCCTTTGTCATCGTGCGCGGCGCGTGATGCCAGCTCGTAATGCTCATGGTCTGCGGACGCCCGTGCGTGTTACGAACACGACGTCTGCCCATCAAGCAATATCGACGAGGAGGGGAGTCCGCAGTGTTGTCACGCGTTGCCGAATGATTAGTGTGAGACGAGAGCCAACTTAGAGGGGGGGGGGCGGCAGTTCCGGATTAAGCTAGTGCGGGGCCTGTAGCATATGTTATAAAGGGGCCCTAAATATAAAAAAACGTAAATATTAAAACACTAAATGTTTACTTGCATAGTAAAGTAGTTCTATTTTTTCATTTGCTATACAGGCAAATACGACAAATGTCTAACCTTAAACACCCAGTCGTTCATGAAAAAAAAAAGTTGAAGGCAGTATAGTACTATAGTATTAGAGCAAGTGTAAAATCACTGAGCCGGAATTGATAGCTTGAAAGCATTTAGCGCGGGGCCCTTGCAAGTGCGGGGCCCGTAGCTACTACATATGTAGCTACTTGTGCCACTAAGATAACCCAGCACTGGGAGGGGGGGGGGGATGTGCAGATGCCTCAATGGGCACGTGGCACACTCATAAAACATTGAGCTTCGAATACCGATAGCTCGTGGCTTAACGTAGGAACCCGTGGACCTATAAAGACACCCTGAGAATGACGTCGATCCCTGCAGATTTACTGTCGAGAGTCGTAGACTCTCCGAGAGACTCGCATTTGTTGGACTCGCCGAAGAGACCCTTAGCCTCACAAAGAGATCCATAGACTCACACAGAGACTCAAAGACTTAATATCGAGAACACTGAGGGACATTTGATACTGGGGGAAAATGTCGCCTGGTGAGACAAGGACATAAAAAAACGAGACTTGTCTCTGGTGTGGGCCAATCAGTTTCAAGGACAATGCCCATGTTTGTTTGCATGCTCACCACAAGTACGTGTGGTTAATGTAGACTTGATGCCTTGCAATGTATATTTTGGTGTTTCAATATCTTAACACCTGTTTTATTTTCAGAAGGGGTAATACCTATTCTTGTTTTTCATCATCGAGAACCATTTAGACTCACATATAAAAGCCCACAGACTCCCATAGATACTCATAGACTCATATAGAAGCCCACAGGCTCGCGAAGATAATCATAGACTCACATAGAAGCCCACAGACTCACATAGATACTCATGGACTCGCATAGATACTCATACTCACATAGAAGCCCACACACTCGCATAGATACTCAAAGATTCACATACAAGCCCACAGGCTCCCGTAGATACTCATAGACTCATATAGAAGCCCACACACTCCCATAGACACTCATAAACTCACATACAAGCCCACAGACTCACATGCTCATAGACTCACGTACAAGCCCACAGGCTCACATACTCATATACTCACATACAAGCCCACAGACTCACATACTCATAGACTCACATACAAGCCCACAGGCTCACATACTCATAGACTCACATACAAGCCCACAGGCTCACATACTCATCGACTCACGTACAAGCCCACAGACTCACATACTCATAGACTCACATACAAGCCCACAGGCTCACATACTCATAGACTCACGTACAAGCCCACAGGCTCACATACTCATAGACTCACATACAAGCCCACAGGCTCACATACTCATAGACTCACGTACAAGCCCACAGGCTCACATACTCATAGACTCACGTACAAGCCCACAGGCTCACATACTCATAGACTCACGTACAAGCCCACAGACTCACGTACTCATAGATTCACGTATAAGCCCACAGGCTCACATACTCATAGACTCACATACAAGCCCACAGGCTCACATACTCATAGACTCACGTACAAGCCCACAGGCTCACATACTCATAGATTCACGTACAAGCCCACAGGCTCACATACTCATCGACTCACGTACAAGCCCACAGGCTCACATACTAATAGAGTCACGTACAAGCCCACAGGCTCACATACTCATAGACTCACGTACAAGCCCACAGGCTCACATACTCATAGACTCACATACAAGCCCACAGGCTCACATACTCATAGACTCACGTACAAGCCCACAGGCTCACATACTCATAGACTCACGTACAAGCCCACAGACTCACGTACTCATAGATTCACGTATAAGGCCACAGGCTCACATACTCATAGACTCACATACAAGCCCACAGGCTCACATACTCATAGACTCACGTACAAGCCCACAGGCTCACATACTCATAGACTCACGTACAAGCCCACAGACTCACGTACTCATAGATTCACGTATAAGGCCACAGGCTCACATACTCATAGACTCACATACAAGCCCACAGGCTCACATACTCATAGACTCACGTACAAGCCCACAGGCTCACATACTCATAGACTCACGTACAAGCCCACAGGCTCACATACTCATAGACTCACGTACAAACCCACAAGCTCACATACTCATAGACTCACGTACAAGCCCACAGACTCACATACTCATAGACTCCCGTACAAGCCCACAGACTCACATACTCATAGACTCACGTACAAACCCACAAGCTCACATACTCATAGACTCCCGTACAAGCCCACAGGCTCACATACTCATAGACTCAAATACAAGCCCACAGGCTCACATACTCATAGACTCACGTACAAGCCCACAAGCTCACATACTCATAGACTCACGTACAAGCCCACAGGCATGACTTGGGTTGTGATCAAACGGGGTTCTCGAGTCTCGTAGTGAGTTGATGATCTCAGCCAGTCACCAGTGACTGCACGAACAACACAGGGAGATGAAATTGGTCAGTCGGTGAGTCAGTCCGTCACTCGCAGCGCTTGCTTGGGCAGATGTTGGTCATGCGAGTTTGAGTCAGAGCGGATTTCGGTATTGATTACGAACTATCTATGATCTCTGACCTTCCTTTGACCAAGGTGTAAAAAAATATATTTGTGACCAAAATATTTCACTACGCCAATCGTATGGAAGACGGAGGGCGGGGGGGGGGAGTGTGTGGGGGTCCCAATTTGGAAAAAATCTCTGCCAATTTGTCTCGTGTGTTTTAACCTTCGTTGATTTTCTTTTTTCATTGAGGCAACACGCGGGCCCGTTACATCGCGTCGTGAAAGTGCGCGCACCGTCAAACGTAAACTCAACCGGTTGTGAAAAGCAGGGAGATAGAAAGATGGGGGGCAGGGCCGCTGCATCCTCGTTTAAATTTCACAAAAAAA